TATATATATATATATATATAGTAACTTACCTATTTATTACTGTTACTATAATACAGGAGAAACCCTCGACTGCTGGCCAGGCCTTGTCGCAATCACCTGGGCTAAGAGCTTTCGTTGAACTGCCTTGGGGGGTAATGAGAGCCGCCATGTGGTTTAGGGTTTAGGGTACGCTCGCATAGGACTTGAAATGCATGCAGGGATTTGCAGGGTATCTTGTAGTAGGCCGTAGGCTATTTATGGCACATGTCCAGGTATGGGGCTAGAGGGCTTAAGGTGTGTGTGTGTGTTTAATCTACTCGGGTACAAGTGGCGATAATTCGGTCTGCCATGTTAGGATAACAGAGTTTGGGGTCTCGTATACCATGTTTATACTAAGGAAGCCCAATGGCCCAAGGCATTGGTAAATACCCAAACTCCTCTCCTTAATCCCAAATCCCCAATAGATCCCCTACAGGAATCCATCCAGCCGAAACCCTAACTTCTGTACTTAACTCTAGACCCTAACCCTTATAAAATCCGGCTTCCATCTAGGCGTGCGTCGGGATGGCGTCGTTTTAACCCGCACTCTGGGATTCGTGGCGGCTCCGGCGCCGAGGCCAGATGCGCATGGACGTATTTGGTTTGTCATCGACTCAGAACTCTATATATATATATGTATATATATATAACATGCAAGATATACTGTATAGTTTATAACTTACATAACATATAGCATGTCATATGGAATACACTATAGGGTTTAGGATCTTTAGGGCGTAGGGCGTGTAGGTCTCAAAGGGTTCAGGGATTAATAGGGATTAAGGCTTATAGGATTTAGGGCATATAGGGGGTAAAGGTTTAGGCTTTATAGCGTTTCGGTTTGCAGAAGAATCGGAGAGTTCGATATAGGGGTGAGAATAATTAGGAACAGATGCGAATCTATCAAGACTCGTCAGCACCACAAACACTCTGCCACAGGAGCCCACCTAAGGCCCGTAGAAGCATAGTAAAACCCCATGTTTACACAATCCCTTGGAGTTGTAAACAAACTACCAAAATTTGGAGTTTTATTGTGCTCAAGATACCAAAAATTAGGAGTTTCATTGCCATATTAATCAAAATACCGAAAAAGAACTCCTAAGAACACTGAAGCCCGAAACGGAGACGGCGACACTGGCAACTCCTACTGCGGGCTGCGTGGCGCGGATCCAGGAACCACAGCTCATAGTCCTCCTGCCTGGAGAACCCACAGGGAGGGCTTTAGGGTTTAGGGTGTAGGTCTATATAGTAGTAGTAGTAGTAGTAGTAGTAGTAGTAGTAGTAGTAGTAGTAGTACTAGTAGTAGTAGTAGTAGTAGTAGTAGTAGTAGTAGTATATAGATTTCGATGTTAGGAATTACTACTATGGTTTTGTAAAGCACCCCCCATGACACTACCTAGGACCCTTTGGAGAAAGACTGCAATCAGAGAGGCACCCAGCTCGAAAAGCCGACTTCCCGACAAAAATGTGGATGTCTGCAGAAGGAGTAACAGTATACCCTACGGTCCCTGACATATTTTACCCGAATTTACTACAATGTACTTCACGGCACTCTGCTAATTCTAATCATGGGCCTTGCCCGAAATACCAAAAGATTCAACCACATAATGCATGCAGAATCCTAACCCACCACTAAATACTGCTCCTGAGTACTGAGGGCTCCTTGTTAAAATGTCAGCATAAGAACCCCCAGCCCCTAGTCGAGTTCTCAAGGCCCCCCGCCATACTAAACCATCGTACAACTGTTGCTAAGACGGCAGCAAGTGGCGATTTTGCTGATCATTGCAGCTGGCGAAAGCCTCCGAAAAGCATCTACAAGACTCAAAAGTAGCTCCGAGATTTAAGAACCTACCATTTTCTAGCACGCGGTCTGATCTTGTCGAGGCACGCCGCTTCTGCGACTGCCTGCAATGAGCAGGCTTCTCCGGTGAGGTGCATGACGTCCTGATTGAAGACACGCAGGCTTCGGTTTAGGGTTTAGAACTTAGGAATATTGGGTCCGCGGCAAAATTCGATGCACACTCTCCGAAACCCTGAACCCCTAAACCCCGAACACAAAAGCTTTGAAGCCGAACAGGTGTGAGATGCCCCTTAATCCCAACCCGATGGAGATTATCAATTTTTAAAGTCCAACCAGGAGAGCAGATGGGGTGGATCTGTAACGGCCTGATACTGAGTCAAAGGCTTGGAAGGGTGGACTGCCCGGCGTGTAACTCTAAGGCAAAGGAATGGAACCTAAAGCCGTTACCTTAGGGGCTGAGTACCCTAGCCCCAACAAAAAACAACGGGTTAACCTTCTAATTCCATATGGGAGTTTCCGAAAATAGGGGACCCTAATATAGTTAGGCTAGCGCGCCAATGCCGCCGACCCGCTTCATCG